TTCTGCCGCAAGTTTCAGTCCTTACTGCGTCATCCATTTCTTTACGACGCGTTCTGCGTTCCGAACCCGGTATTTGAGATCTGACTCATCCCGGGCAACTACCAGTACTCCTAGGTCATCCGCGAATGCGAAGGGGGTTCTACCCTCTTCGTATTCATACTGCATAACCCCCTCATATGTCAGGTTCCATAGCGTCGGGCCAAAAACAGATTCCTGGGGTACCCCTGCCGTCACGTCCACGATCGTGCCAGAACTCTATGGTTCTCAGCCCTCGAAATATTAATAATTTAATATGAATAGTTAAATTATAAATTATGCAAGTTAAAAGCCATAAAATCAATAAACATAATCGCAACTAGATATTACAAAATTAAAGTAGAATTTAAAATACAGTTGGTTTTGCTTAAACATTAAATCTGCTTGGTAGATCATGTTTCAGCCTCCGCACTTCATTATTGTCATCAAATAAGCGCTTTGTCAGTAAATTGGGATGCACTTTTATTCGTTTACCATATTTTAACACTGTAACTGTTTACAACTTCTTTTACTGAAGGCACTTCTATATCTTTTTTCTACAATTCAGCATGTTGGTAATACAATTAACATAATTACTATTTAACTGGGAATAAGCCACAATTAAAGATAAAAATACGGTTATTGACGTTTCAATTTCCACTTCGGAAATCTTTTTTTCAGAAATTCGGATTTCCGAAGTGGAAATTGAAACGTCTATAAACGTATTTTTATCTTTAATTGTGGCTTATTCCCAGTTAAATAGTAATTAATTTACAATGCCACAATAAAATAGCTTCAGAACAATACAATTAACATTTTACATATTATGGTATATTTTAGCTACCTGACATTTTCCTTCTTTCGGCACGGAATAAAACAAAACACATCTTTAAAGTTCATAACATTGCACTATTTACAGAGCAAAAAATAAGAAATTCAATGCTTTCTCCTTTTGCCACCAGCAACACCATGCGGCACGTGTAAATGTGCTGTATTTACGATTGGGTCGGGATTTATGAATGACTTGGAAGTTTTACACGCCAAATTCAAAACAAAATCGGTTTCCAAAAGGACGTTTAGAGAGGCCGTTTAGTGTTCCAATATTAATGAAGGCCAGGTCGCGTGTGTACAGGGAATAAGCTGAAATCACCTTCAAATTGAAACGATCGATCGCAAAAAGTTCACACTCCGTGGGGCTCATTCAATGTGTTAACGAAATGTGAACTATCTTATACTAATATTTTTTTATATAGATATAATTTATGTTCTCGTGGTAGTGTGCATACAAATATTTATTTTATTTTTTTACCTATTTTAGAACTATATATATATATATATATATATATATATATATATATAAATATATATATATATATACATATATATATATATATATTTATATATATATATATATATATATATATATATATATATATATATATATATATATATATTATATATGGCCACGCCATAAAAAAAAACCTTTCTCTGCTTCTGCTCCTATTGTGGTCCAGATGACGTACACCTTTCTCCTATCTGTCCTTGTATCTGCAACCCAACAACTCGTGTAATTCTATGCAGCCTCCTTTTGAGCGAATCTCCGCGCCTGTTTATAACTTCAAATGTTTCCGGCTTCGTCTGATATTAATATTCTTATACCCTTTGGTTTTTCTATCTCTCTGTACCCCGTTCCTCACACTGATCAGCTTTTACACAGCAAATAAACACACCCGGTAAATTACGTCTTCGGGACTTCAAACAAACACAAACCACAAAGCTCCTTCCTTCTTGGGCGACGAAAACTGACTAACTAACTTTTTTCCCTTCTCCTATCTCATAGCCAAAACCACTACCTCCATTGCATTCAAAAATTGACCAATAAAAATCATCCACCTCTGTGACGTATATCGTTACCAACCAACTCTCTTTATAAAACGTCATTCGGGTAATTCCAGAAAACAACATTCTTTAATTATTCTAACTAAATCTATCTGCTTTACAAATATTTCTTACTAATAGCTACAAACTATACCTGTTTCTCAATTCAATGTCTTTTGTTAATAACTTTTACCGATATAATCTTTGAAGTGGGGGGAGAAAAACCACCGCAAATTCCGGTCTATTGTTTAAACACTGTCTATATACAATTTTATTCTGGGTAAATCCGTTCCACAATAACCGACTTATTTAAATTTCTTATCGATAATATTTGAAAGTCTTGTCTCTGAGGCCTAATGAACAATTCTTCGAACAACTTAAAATACATATTTTGTCTTATACAGAAAGTTTGAAAATTTATATGCCCGTGTCTTTATGAAATATCAATAATTTTAATTTTTATTTAAGTAATAAAATTTGTATATCGGTTTTTTATTGCTTATGGACATTCAAAAGTACAACAATATATATATATATATATATATATATATATATATATATATATATATATATATATATATATATATATATATTGTTATGATATGTAAAAACGAGAAAAATATTGGTTTGTTTAAAATATTTCAAAATTCAAAAACATTAAAATAATTCAGATAATTAGGATAATACCCAACAAACATTTCGAAGAAGGAAAATATTTAAATTTTTGGATTACCTGTATTAAACAAAATGTAAGCTAAGCATAAAATTAAGAGGTTTTTGTTAGTTTTTAAGAATTATAGAAAAATATTATTTGTAAATAAGTTTTAGGAAATTTTATAATTATAGGTAAAAATTTGTTTGTTATCGGAATGAAAGAATGGGGAATTGTGACGAGTTTTGATTGGAGGAGATTAAAAAAGGTGGGAGGTATGTAGGAATGAAAGTTTAGCTAGATTTCGGAGTGAGAAAAGATAGTTAGTTGGTTTCCAAGGGTGCAAGGCGAACGGCCGTTGTTCTCGGGTAGTTTCCCAGAGGTAGGAAGCAGTAGCAGTGAAAGTTTGTGAGTTTTCGTGTAGTTAGTGTATCTGACAGAAGCTGATCCAGTAAAATATTGTAAGTCATTTTTTTCTACTTATATTCCAAGAGTCACTGTTCAGGTCAACGAGAGATTCAGTTTATCGTAAAGAAAAGATACTCCAAGAGTCATTTTTCACTCAGGCCAACAAGAGATTCAGTTTATTGAGAGAAGAAGAAGCTAGCATAATTTGAACGATTCGTGCATTTGAAGGAGATCATTAAGGACGAGATACTTGCAATAATTTATTGTAAGATTGCAGATTACTAAGGGAGCGGCCACGAATAAATAATATAGTCAACAAATAACAAGGATTTGGACCACTCATCATCAGAGAGAGATAGTTTTGTTTTCTGCAGTTTTTCTTTCATTGATAACACAAATTTTTTACACTTAATTTAGAAAGGATATAAATACTTTGATTAGGAGATTTAGAGTAATACTTGGATTTTGAGATTTCAACTAATGTTGTTTGTACCATTAATTTTGATTGTTCACGTACGTAGAACAAAATTTTGAGAATTATTATATGAGATCTTGTTTATTGAAAACTTTTGAGTGTGAATTATTTCATTATTTTTTATTTCAATATATAGTGTTAGATCATATGTGTTTTTTTATTGTTCCGGTATTCTTTGGACCTTACCTTTCACATGTAATAGCATAGATATTGAAGCACGAATTTAACCCTGAGATAAGAGAATTAAAAAGTGTGATAGAGTCATAATCATATCATTTAAATAATTTTAATTAATCAAAAAAATTAATTAGCTAATTATTGCTTGGCGCACCAAGACTTTAAATATCACGATAATATATATATATATATATATATATATATATATATATATATACATATATATATATATATATATATATATATATATATATATATTATATATATATATATATATATATATATATATATATATATATATATATAATATATAACTAAAGTAGCCTAACATATAACTAAATATAGCCTAATATAGAACTAAAAGTAGGTATCCGACTAAAGTAGGATCTGCCTACATGGAAACGACAAGAGACGTCGAGTCTATAGAAGACCAGGAGAGCGATTTGCTAATGTTTTATACAAGACATTGTGTCATATGGAGGCAGTTGTTGTATATTTGGGCAGGCATTTCCATAGATGGGAAAATCGAATTGGGTTTCGTGTCTGGTGGAGGAGGTGGAGGAGCTTTAAAGGCGGATCGATACATCACAGACATTTTGGAGGAATATGAGGTTCCATACGCGAGATTCATTGGTGATGCCTTTATCTTAATGCACGATAATACATGATGCCATACCGCACGAGTCACCACCATCTATCTGACTTAGATTGGTATACCTATAATAAATTGGCCTACTATGAACCCGGACCTAAATCCAATAGTGCATGTTTAAGATGACCTTAAAAGAATGGCCTGGAACATAAACTCTGCACCAAGAAGCATAATGGAATTGAGAGCTGCCCTTAATGATAAATTGGAAGCAATGCCTCAAGAATTTATTAGAAAACTCATCCGATATATGCCAAATCGATTGGAAAGTGTAATTAGGAGTAGGGGTGATAATATCAAATACTGAACAATAAAGAAACTCATAACGTCTTTCTTGCGTTAGTTTCAATTATGAATATTTAGGAAACTCTGTTCGTATTGCATATTGTTTTTATAATGCGTCCTCCAAATAATGCAATAGGAGTTTTTGTAAGTTCAATAATAAATTTATTGTTTGCACATTACATCATTTTATTTTCATACTTTTTACATTGAAACAGAAGGTACAATCTCAAATATCTCTTTTGAGTCGATTGTTTTGCACTCAAGTGTACATTGACCAACCCTGTATTTTTATATCTTTGCTCTCAAATTTCTCATTTCTCTTCGATCTGCTATCAATCATTTTCAAATGTTTTATAATGTCTACTTTCGATACTTCCTTACACCGCTATATTATACTCCGCATTTTGAGTATATTTACATAACCTACAATAAATTTTTATAGTAATAAATTTTTGTTTCAGACAAAAGTGATGGTTCTCAGAATTTCGAAGAAGGACAAGAGACTTGGGCCCAAAATACTCCCCGAGCTGCTGCCAACGTTGCTACTCCTCCCGCAGGAAAATTTCCGATGCTTAACGGAACTAATGTACATTTCGAATCGCCAAAGGTGCCTGTTATATTCGTTTTGGGTAAGCAACCTTTTTATACTGTATGAAACATAGTTAATAGCAAATAATGCAAAAACAAATTGATTGGTGAATAATTAGACTAATCAACTAATGACAGCAGTACAAGCTAATAACGTTGGGAAGCAAAGAAAGCACAAAAAAAATTAATATTGTGCGATAATGATATAAAAATAAAAGAGAAAAAAAAACAGGTCAACAATGGAGAAGAAACCCAGGACAGTACTAATCCGGAACAGAAACATTAAATTCAAAATAAGAAACAACTTCCACAGTAGCGTCATATTATTAATTTGACCAACATTATCAATATGTCATTCAGAATGACACACGTACCTAATTTTCTCTCATCAATTTGGTTTTAAACAAAAGCATTTAGCCATCAAATAGGTATATAGAATCTTCTAATAAAATAATTCATATTTACAAGTGTAGAAGTGCATAGTTGGTTTTTATTTATATCGCTGAGCAACAGTTTATTCAATAGGAGTTCAATAGCCTTTCTTGAAATAAACATGATCCATAAGTACACATTTCCATAAGTGTTTCCATTTCTGGAGTATTAACCTACTAACATATACGTACAATAACATCAAAGCTGCATGCGATGGTGGTATTTGCAATTCAAATATTTGGAAATTTAAAGACGGTACAGAAAATAAACCGCAAGAATAAAACAGCAGTTTGCTTATCTGTTTCAGTATAAAGTTTTGAAAAATACTGTTTAACATACAGATTACTTTTGCATGTGTATGCATCTATAGAGTTTATGTAGATTTTTTATACTGAAATGTATTTTTAGAGCTAAATAAATTCTATTTTTTTATTGGTATTTATAAAAGTAGAAGTGTTAATGACTATAAATCTTTGTTAATATAGTCTATACATCATGAATCATGAACCCAAGATTTTTTTAACACCCATAAGAGTTAACAATATTTTCTAGTAATTTGAATGCTGTCGATGTCAGAAACATGGGTCAGTATGATTTTGGGTCATATTTAGGTTTGTCAGTTTTTAGCAGAGCAATGACTATTGCCTTTGGTCATTGGTGGTGAAGCTAAAATTTGTTTAAAATGTTTAAGAGATACGTTATAACTGAAACAGTGAGATGTTTTAGAAATGATGAAGGAGTATCATCAGGTCCAGGACTAGAATCCTTTAAGGTACGAAGAGATAAGTTTATCCATTGAAAAAAGATAGTTTAAGGAATTATCTTGAACTTCAGCCAGATGAATGAGATTTTGTTTGCCGAATTCTTCGGTTTTAAGAAAATGGCGGTATACTGTGAATTCGATGAGTGGCATTGACAAATTCTCAAAAAAATTCTCCCCTATTACTATATTGATGTTATGAAATTATTATTTTCTTTTAAACGTGAATTGTGTGAAGTAGATAAACCAGATATTTTTCTAATTTTGTTCCAGACATCAGAGAGAGGGATATTGCTAATTATTTCCGGTATATAGGATGGTGAATCGTCAAACGGGGCAATAGGAATAGGAATAGGAAACTCAATGGGAAATTCTAAATAGTTGAATTTCTGCTTTCCTAATTATTTTACGCCAAAAGTCAAGAAAAAATATTTGTAGAGGACTGAAATATGTATCGAAAACAAAATGTTAATTAAAATTGTTCTACGAATTAAACGTATTGCTTGTTGATTGTTGATGCTAACCATCTTCAATATTCATAAATTTAACACAATCTTAAAACAATTAACAACAAAATCTCTAAATAAATCAAAATCTATTTCTAAAAATAGAAATTGTTAATTTTTTTTGCTTGATAAGACGTATTTCCACCCCTGTTACGAATGACAGCTTAGCATCGAGGATTTACACTTACAATAAAGTATTATGATCCAGTTCATTTCAAATTTGGAAAAGACGTTGTTCCAGTTCCTGCAGAATGTTTGGTTGATTAGGAAAATTCTGTAGACGTCAACCATGCAAATTCCAGACATTCTCTATAGGATTGAGATCGGCACCATTCGCTGGCCATTCCATAACATTGATTCTAACTTCCTTTAGATAATTTTGCACTATATTTGCAACGTGTGGTCATGTATTATCGTGCATTAGAACAAAATTTTTGCCAATATAAGGAGCAAATGGCACAACGTGGTCTTAAAGAACATCAACGATATATCGGTTAGTGTTGATGGTACCGTTATTCAACACCACCTATCTGCACGACCCGTTAAAGAAACGCCGACACAGACCATAATCAACCCTCCACCGAATTAAGTCGTTCCTCGCATATTACACTGTGCATACCGTTCGTTCTGACGTCGGTACACGCGAATACGCCTATCAAAATTGTAAAAACGGAATCTGCTCTCATCTGTAAACAGAACTCTATTCCAATCAGCCTCCAACCCATGGATATGATTTAGTGCAAATACTAAACGCGCTCTGCGTTTCAAGTGGTGAAACTTCAAGCTACCCTCAAGGCTGGCCCTCTGGCAGGTATACGATTTACCAAATTACCTTCCTTGAGACGTTGGCGAACAGTTTGACAGCTGATTCGAACATTATGAACATGTTCAAGTTGGGATTGTAAGCTTCTGGTAGTTGTAAAAAAACGGTCTTAAACAAACATTGTTACACGATGTCGACCTTGTCCTGGACGCCTTTCTTAGAGTAGTGTACATTTAAAACTGGGAGAATTCATTGATAACAGTATTTATTTAAAATATAAAAATACTTAAAAGATAATATGAAGCTTCGCGCTAGTTTATAGTACTGCATACTATCCATTTTTTATTTTTTAGGTGGTCCAGGAAGCGGTAAGGTGACCCATTGTGATAACCTAATGCAGGAGAAAAAGGGGGTTACCCATATCAACATGACTGACCTTCTGCAGCAGTATGCAATAGGAAATGGTAAGTTTGAACTTAATCATTTGTGCTTTAGATGATTGTCTCGTTTAACGATATCTTCTTGTAGTGCCGATTCGGCAATCTTCATGGCAGTCTGTACTTTAACGATATAAAGACTCTATACTTCATCTAATTTAGATAACGACTTACGTCATTATCTACGTCAGAGATCGAAGTTGACATAGTTGCCAAAGTATAAAAAAATCCTGACTCCATTTTAAATCAAATAGATATAATCTTCTTATATCAAATACATAATTATTGCAAAAGTATTACCATCTCTTTACAACGACTATTTAAATTCTTACGTGACATTTTTGAAATAAAACACACTAATTTTGTTCTAAAAAGAACAGATTTTATTAAATAGTTGAAAATATAAAACAAGAGATATTCACTTTAAAATTCAAAATAATGAAGTACAAAAAGTGTCAACACCGCAACTGTCAAATAAGTGTTACCAATTTATGCCAAAATTTTACCTTCTTTCGATTACAGTTACAGTGTGATCCGAACAAATGTTCTTGATAAAAAACGCTTTATAATGCATTTATACAAATTCAATGAAACATATTATTGTGTATTTCTTTAAGTTAACATCAATAGACATTTTTAAATATTATTTCTACGCGTATATAATAAAATATGTCTAGTGGCTGTAATGCCAGTGTACTCGGTAAAGTGATTCTAAAAAAGAACACACCTACACCCTAAATATTTTGTGTTGGTATCATGTGACGTCACAGGCTGACGCCGATGACGTGCATCGTTAGATAAATTAGATGAAGTGTATATTCTTTAGGATACGGCAACAGCGGTGCAGAAATATTAACTTGCAAGTCGATACTATAACATTTAAGTATTTAACAAGTGGTCATTCTGATCGTTAAGAACTTACTCACCAAATAAAAACTGTAGAGGAACTACAAAGATCTTAACCTGGCAACAACAATAAAGTGTATTTAATATGGGTACCGGGTCATGTAAGGATGTACAAAGAATTAACAAGCATATTTATTGGCGAATCTAGGCTAGACAAAAAGCTTTATAGTTCCAGAAGCGTGAGTCCAAGATTATGTATGATACGAGATTCAGAAGTGGCTGAACAGAAATCATCAAAAGAAATGAAGAGAAATTCAAGTACAAATCCAGACCAACAAAATCATCAAATACCTTAATAAACGAGAGATTAGAACGGACACCGAAACTGTCACTGTACATGGTGTCTTAAGAAAAAACACATAAAAAATCAGAAAAAGAAAAATAAGGAGAAGAAGAACCTTCGAAGTAATCCATAATAACATATTACATCACAAATATTAAAACTGCTTATTTCAGCACTTGCAAATCTTTATTACACAGCACATATACACAGGACAATTTTCTAATGATCGTTGTGGGAGTTACATAAACAATTTTCTTTTTCACACTTGAGATGGCCACCATCCATTGGTTCATCATCATTGTTGATCTGGATCATATCTGGATCTGAAAAAAAAATATTTTTTAACCTCAAAGACACTAATTAAAAGCTATGCGTAATAAGGGTTTAAAAACACCTAGAAATAGAAATATATTCATAAAATAAGTGACAAACAAAAAAACAATAAAACCAAAATTCAGAAATTGTAATTATCATAGTAATTTGTACTTTTGATTCAATGATAAAACCAGTGAGTACTATCGCTATGTTGATGTGTCCAATATTGCACTTTAGGTGCATAAGCAGTATATTGCGGGGGTTTGAGGCCGACAGAAAGAGTATTTGGTCCATTAAAAATCCATAATTTGGTCATTTTTGGATCATAATTATGTAAAAACCTTCTTCAACATATCAAAATTAAACTAAACTGATAGCACTCTAGTGCAAATTAACCTAAGGTAAGATTTTATTTTAATTGTACTCTTTAAGGGGCTCAAAAATGGAACTGTCCTGATCTATCATAACCACAATGTAATATGTTGTGCAAGCAAAATGAGACTGTTCGGATTTTAGAGTCAGAAGTATCAAGTCAAAAATAGCGAAAATACTAAGTGAATAATACAATTTTTAGTATATATGGAAAGGTAATCTTGATAATTCTCAGGCAAATCTGAGATAAAAAGCAAATTATTCAAGATGTCACTGTACCTAATAAACTATCAGTAGGAAGCGACCATAGACCAGTAAGAGCTAGCGTAACGATAAATCTACAAAAAGAAATAGCAAAGATGATAAACAGTTGCAAACGCATAGTTTGGAATTCACTAAATCATCTAAAATCATACATAAAAAATATAGCCGAAACTTTAAAAAAAAATAATCCCAAACCACTAAGTATCGACGATCACAATAAATTAATAACAAGACTCGGTTAGAAACGCACAACTTAAATTTTGCAAGAAAAATGACACCAAAATTGAAAAGATTAGCAAAAATACAAAAGCTCTCATGGAAATAAGGCGAAACCTAATCGAGAACGAAAAGGGAAACAAAGAAGAATATTAAAAACTAAATAAAAGAATTTCAGCGGAAATTAGAAAAGATGTAAGAAGATATAATACTAATGTAATTACTCAAACAGTAGAAGAGAACAAAGGTTTGAAGATAATGAAAATAAAACTCACACAGAGTAAAAAAGAAATATACAAGCTAAAAGATAAAGACGGAAAGGCAACAACAAATAAACAAAACATTCTGAAAATAACCAGAGAGTTTTATAAAGACCTCTATACCTGCCAAAGACCACAAGACAATTTCCCGACACGAGTAAAGACTCTCATAAATCAGGGATTTGAAAAACTTTTACCCATTACTTACTATGTCAGAAGTAAGAGCAGCTCTAAAGGAAATGAAGAACCATCGATCGTCTGGTGATGATAGACTCGTTATCGAGGCAATAAAAGCAGGAGGAGAAATTGTATTAAAATCAGTAAGCGAACAATAAATGCTTACATGCGCGTACGATTCCAAAAGACTGGAACAATTCAGTAATAGTCTTGTTACACAAAAAAGGCGATATTACTAAATTAGAAAATTATAGACCCATCAGCCTCTTAATACAGATGTACAAACTCTTTATGAAAATCTTAACAAAGAGGCCAACACCTAAACTTAATTTCTATCAGTCCAAAGAACAGGCAGGCTTCAGGGCAGAATATGGCACAAATGACCATTTGCATACCATAAAGATTTTAATAGATAAGTGCATCTGTCTAAAAGTCTGTCTGAACGAGCAGGATTAAAGATAAACTTTGAGAAAATTAAACTTATAACAAATCTCGTAATGAGTGGAAATATAACTATTGACAATAATACCATACAACAAACAGGCACTTACAAATATCTGGGACACGAAATCAAAATAAGCAGAAACAATCAAACACATGAAATACAGAGGTGAATAGGCCTAACATGAGCAGCATTTGACAAATTAAGCCATATTCTAAAAAGTTCAATTCTCATGTGTCTCAAGCGAAAGGTCTATAACCAATGTGTTTTACCTGTACAAACTTATGGAGCAGAGACTTTAACACTCACGCAAAAATCTGCGAATAAACTCGGAGCTACACAACGAGCCATGGAACGTGCAATGCTGAACGTGAGCCTTCGAGACCACTTAACAAACCAACAAATCAGGCAAAGATAAGGAGTTCAAGACGTCATCGAAAGAACCACGACGCTTAAGTGGAGCTGGGTAGGGCAAATAGCCAGAACACAAGATGGACGGTGGACAAGACGTATTATGGAATGGAGGCCCAGAAACTATAAAAGAAGCCGAGGACGACCACCGACTAGATGGACCGATGATATAAAACGTGTAGCGGGAAACTGGCTACAAGCGGCCCATTGTAGAGAACACTGGAAAGAACTGAGGGAGGCCTATGTCCAGCAGTGAACGCGATTGGCTGATTGATGATAAATCTTGGTAATGTAGATTGAACCATCAAGTCTTTTGTTTACTTGCTATGGAAAAGTTTAAATTATATAATTTAATTTAAGGAAAAAAAATTACCTCAAAGGCTGAAAAAGTATTAAAAAGTATTCAACGGTATAACAAAACAAACCTTAAATTGGGTACAGATGCTCAGTTTATCTATATTCCGGTTTTTAAGTGTACATTCTCTGCAGAGTCTCGTAACACTAAGAAAAAACCGCAAATTAAATATTATGGGCGATCTAGGACAGGGAACTTTCAGGGACTTTATAAGACTTTACAAAAAATGTAAGAGGAGATATATTAATCCAAATGTCCAGAGACGAAAGCAAAGGAGTCTTGGAAAGCTCCTGGAGATATTCTAACATTTTATCATCTTAGCCAAAATAATCTGGTGCAATTACTTTTTTAGTTGTAAATATTAACGCTCGAATTAAAATAAATTACAATAAAAAACATGTCTCAAAAAGGCAAAATTATCAAAAGAAAATAAGATACAGAAATAAAATAAAGACCTCTACAGATAACATTAAATAACAAAAATGGAGATGGGCGAGACATTCTGAAAGGATGAGACATGGCAGATGGACATAAAATTGCTTAGAGTTAAGACCACAAGCAGATAGGCGAAGCCGGTAGGACCCCCAGAACGATAGACCGACGATCAAATAATTGCGACCAATTATTGTATTGTATATAATTGGATAGCAATTATATACAATATACATAGCAATTTGAATACCGTTATTAAAACGGGTTTAATAGACAAAGAACTTAAAAAAATTGCATAGACTTTTACAAGACATACAAGAAAAATTCCTCATACCAGCAAAAATTAAGAAAAAATCGTAGATGACAAATGAGATTCTAGATATGATGGAAGATAAGCGAAAGGTGGAAGATCAGGGCAAGACATCATACAAAAGAATAGACAATGAGATTAAAAGTTATCAGAATGGCTAAGAACACACAACTGAGAGAACAATGTGCGAAAATACAGCTATTACAACAGAAACACGATTCATTCAATATGCACAAAAAAATTAAAAAAGCTGCAGGCTTATGCAAGCCTAGAAGAATTGGATGTTTGGTAGATATCCAAGGTAAACCACTACTAAGTGTGGAAAAAAGACTAGACACTTGGAAATACTAGACAAATACCTGGAAGTAACATTTGCAGATGAAAGGCAGATTGCTATTGAAGGTATAGAATGCCAACCAGGATCCCCGATTGCCATTGAAGAAGTCACGGCAGTGATTATTATATAGATGGTTTACAAGCAATAATGTCGCGCATATCAGATATTAAGTCGAGAATATGGGCTGGATCTCAATATAAACAAAACACAGTACATGGTAGTTAGTAAGCGCGAAATATTAAATACACATCTTTTGGTAAACCAACAGCCAATTGACAGGGTAAACAGCTACACATATCTTGATACTAACATAAAAAGTCAATGGGAACACTTTACTGAAATAAAACAATGCATAGAGAAAGTCAGATCAGCCTTCGTAAAAACTAAGTCTCTGCCACCTACCACTTAGTACCAAAGTATCATCATATGCTGTGTATTCTTATATTATTATACGAAGTAGAGGCATAAACGCTCTCTAAAGCTTCTTTAGAAAAACTCCAGGCCTTGGAGATGTGGTGTTACAGGAGCAGCTTAAAAATTGCATGGGTGGAGCGTGATTAATATTAAGCCCCTACGATAACAGGCAAGGAATGCGGGATCACTAACACAATCAAAGAGCGAAAATCAGAATATATTTCCCATGTTATAAGAAATGAAAACAGATGCCTTATTTCAACTCATTCATCAGGGCAAGGAATTTGAAAAGAAAGGACCAGGGAGAAGAAGAATATCTTAGCGTCAGAACCTTAGAAAGTGGTTCCATACGTCTACAGACTATTCCGAATAGCTGCAAGTAAAGTTAGGATAGCTATGCTGATTGCCAACATCCGGAACGGATAGGCATCGTAAGAAGAAGAAGGATAGCAGAGGCGCACAATAGAACTAGATGAATATATATACAGGGTGGTGAATCGTCAAACGGGCCATAGGAAACTCAATGGGAAATTCTAAATGATTGAATTCCTGCTTCCCTAATTATTTTACACCAAAAGTCATGGGAAACTATTTGTAGAGGACTTAAATATGTATCGAAAACAAATGTTAAAATTGTTCTACGATTTAAACGTATTCCAAAATTTTGCAAAAATATACATTTTTCAGGCCACCCCTAAAAGTTAGGCCAGACGCCGTGAAAAAAATGTGTATTATGTGTTGCCTCTTTTCATATTGATGTTTCTAATATGTGACAATATTTAAATCAAATATATTATATTTATCTATGATTTAAATGGCGAACATTTTCATTTTGTGATCTACTGTTTAAAAGTTGATTAAAAAATGTACTCAGTTGAGAAAAAAAGGGCAAAATTAAAAATGTTTTATTCATGTTTTATTATAACATTTGTTATAGTTTTATATTTAGAAATTATCGTAAATTATTTTTAGGAATATAAGGATAACAGTAACACTATATTGGAATTCATTGAATTGTATAACTTGGAATTAAATTTTAATGTATTAGAATATTTTACGTTAAATAAAGATCTAGTAGTGCTCGCACCTTAAACAAAGAAAGGTTCGCACTATTGCCTGAATACAACATTATGCGATTTTTCGTCAACTGAGTACATTTCATTATGTTTATTGATTTGTAAACAATGTAATTTATTGTTCACAAAATAATATTTGTTGTTCAGTAGTAGTAGTAGTATGTAGTAAAATGCATTGTTTATAATTTAATCATAAAATTAAAAACTTGACAATTCAAATATTCAAAAAAAACATCTGACATCAATATGATAAATCACCATCGAGTTAGAATCTATGGAGAGGGCATCACTAAAAACGACCTAACTTCGGCCATATTGGTATTATTGTTTTGAAACTTTTGACAGATCGGATATGTTTGGTTATATTTGTTGTTTTTCGAATATTTTCAGTTTTATAATACTTTTATAGAAACTGTAATATATTGTGATAGTGCATAATAATGGTTTCTTGTTCTCAACGTAGTTGCAGTAGCAGAAGTAATGTTAATAAAAAATGTTCAGGAATATCGTTCCACAGGTTATTATACAAATATGTAAACAAAGTAATGGCCCGTACTTCAGAGAATAAATTAATAGTATTTGACTGTATTAATTTACCTTTATGTATAATATATCGTGTTTTCAGTGCTTACCGCGGGATAAATAAATCATAGTTTATTAAAAATGTATTGCACTTTTTTAGATTATGATTAAATCTTCTGAATAACTAGTAATATTTGTATAGTAGTTTTATTATTATTGAGTCTAGCCCTGATGTCACCGCCATATTGGTATTATCGTTAGCTACTCCTACCTATGCCGTTTTTATTACATACGTTAATATGCTCATAGCTTCTCCATAGATTCTAACTCGATGTAAATCACACACGTCATAATATACATTCTTGCACTACGTGTGGCCTAACTTTTAGGGGTCGCCTGAAAAATGTATATTTTTGCAAAATTTTGAAGTACCCTTAATTCGTAGAACAGTTTTAACATTTTTTTTTAATTCAGATTTTGGTCCTTTACAAATAGCTTTTTATGACATTTGATTTAAAATAATTAGGGAAGCAGCAATTCAACAATTTAAAATTTCCCATTGAGTTTCCTATGGCCCCTTTGACGATTCACCATCAGGTATATATATATATATATATATATATATATATATATATATATAATATATATATATATATATATATATATATATATATATATATATATAGAAGAGACCTATATTGAATAATAGATCAATCGAATTGATGATCACGATTAAACAATGCAATACTGGCATAAATGTAGACAGCTAGGGTCATATTTTGATCCAGACTTCAGACAGATTAATATGAAGAGAATACATGTAAGAAATCTAATACATGTAAGAAATATTCGAATACTTGTAAGAAATTATATTTAAAAAAATATTATTTACCAAAGGCTGGCTGCTATCAATATTCATCCTAATTCCTAAAAAAACATTAGGAAATGTGATTACCTTAAACTAAATGGACTAATAAGAGCCGTCTATTATTTGTATTTACAATGGTGTAAATATAAATAATATATCTCCTATAAAAATTAGACTACTCATAGATGTCACCAAACGCGTATTGGTGTTACCGATGAATCTCATATAGACAAGATACAACTAACATCCTGATTGTAACAGGCTTAAAACAAGAAACTATTCTAATAAACACAAAAGTAACGGACTTTGCTTACATTATGCGTAATGACAAATACAGACTTTTAAATATGAGTTAAGATTGAGAACAGAAGAAATCCTGGATGAAGGGATATAATCCTGGCTAGCAAATTTTAGAAAATTAACTGGACTAACATCATCTGATCTATTCTGAGCATAGGGGTCAACATGGTCGCCAACATCACATAAAAGAGACATTTTTAGTAGAAGAGGCAAGCACATTTTATAAAAAAAAATGACACAGATTCTGTATTTGGAGGAATTATTGTTTGTATGATCAGAATGAAATCAATATTTCAAAATTTTAAATACCTGTGTTGTACAGGTTCGACCAAAATCAGATCAGAGAATATAAATACATTTTAATACTCGTCACAATATAAATTTTTAAGTTTTAGTTAATTCTCAATAATAAAGCGAATATAAGATACCACCAAAAAATAGTTTTTAGACAATTTTAAATTATCTTACAATCTTACCTCTCAAACCGTAATTATATTACTCAGTTACATTCAGTTTAACATCTTTTAGATATGTAGTTAGTAAAAACAATATATTATCTACTTCAAAAATTTTTGGCTATTTGGTTTGATTTACTGTAGTGTTAATAAATAAAAATTTTAATTACTATGTTCGTGCGGGGAAGTGTCTGAATCCCTCTTGATTTTAAATTCCTCGTCAGAACTCTTGGAAGAAACCTCAAACTTGTTTTCACTTGTAGCGTGATGGTGTATATCTACAATACCGCCTGTACTACTTTTTCTTATTCCCCTTCTTCCTCTCCTTCTCCTCCTTTTTCCTCTCTTTCCACCTTTTCTACCACCTCTTCCTCTCCTTCTACGACGTCGGCGTCTTCTTGCTCGATCTTCTAGTGAGCCGCTTCCTTCTAAAACAGAAAGAGTGAAAGAAAATATTATTATTTATTGAACCTAGCTTTCGTGTTTTATGCCATTTTAACTAAGAAAGGTTAATAAAAGTAAAGATTATTTAATTGTAAATTTTTCGGGGAAAAAAGACACTAAAACAAAATGTAGGAAGTAGTTTCAATAATAAGAAAGTAATTTTTGCCGAATGTATGATAAACAACAGATTTTGAAATTATTTGTTAAAGTTTTATACAAAAATGTCTTATTTACCTCCGGATTTAATACTCTCAACGCTAGAATCATCATCAATATCGTCTTCGTCGTCAAATTCACTGCCATCTTCAGATTCGCTCAAATCTGATCGTTTCCTAGTTTTACCCCCTCGCCTTCTGCCTCGTCTACCTCTCCTACCTTTTCTGGAGCGCCTAGATCGGCTCCTTCTCCTTCTGCGTCTACCTCCTCTTCTTCTGGACTGCATAAGCATATCTCCCATGGATCCAAGCATTTTTAATTTTTTAAAAGCTCCGTAATCTTTTTTGTTCATACCAAGAACGTACTTGCCATTTTTAGCTTTGATTAGGCCAGTTGTTAGGCCGTGTTTCAAAGCTCTATGTATCTAAAAAATAATTATATTTATTAGTTAAGCATTATTTTAAAAACAAATATAGTTATTATTTATGTCGTGGGAAGTCTTTATATTTTGTTATTTCTACTTAGCAGAAGGTTTTGCATCATATGTTAAAGAACTCAAATTACCAAAGACCTTCTTACTATGCACCTAAGCTGTTGATATTAGAAGTACGTATGGAATACAGCTACAAATAGGTAATAATATCACCATATGGATGCCAATTATAATGACAACTGAGATATTAGGAAAGGGATAAGACCACTTATAGAAGAAGGCAGTGTTCTTGTAAATGAAGGTATTTAAATAACAATAAAGATCAGAAGACATTCCATAAGAGGAATGGGATAGAGGAAACTCACATTCCTAGTTACAGAGCTGCTACACTGCTGGGTCTAAAATTGGAGAAAGAGCAGTTGAGAAGGTTGAGGGTAGAGAAAAACCCTCTAACTGGAGGGCCCCTGCGCTTATTATTTAAGACGCAGATTAAAGTCAGGTAGCCGCAAACTATTTTGAGTCTCCCACACTAGTTCGTCTTAAGACGTTTCAAATGCATTGTAAATTCATTAAACCTCGTTAAATTTTTGTCTCAGTTTTTGTGCGACAGCTCGAGGTGAAAGCAGAACAATTATCTCTCCTTTAAAATGTTTTTTCGAAGTAAAATTTTGATACTGCAAATAATCTGAATTTAGTGCAAACATTTTATGAGTAGTTTAGAGCTTCAAATTTCACTATATATTGAAATTAAAAAAAAATTGTTAAAAAATTCTGAGTGTGCTTTAGAAGCGAAAATAAAGAGGGTTCCTGAGGGACCCCTTGCCGGTTTATGTGAAATTTCGTCTCACTTTGTTGTGATTGCTGTATTGTGTTGTGCCATCGTTTCCCAACATTGCATCACTGATTTGTATATTTTGCTTCTGGAAGTGGCAGGCAATAACAACTGGAGAAAGAAAAAGTTCAATTGGTAGGTAATGACCGAAGATGATATCGAAGAACTTGAATGGAACCTGTTAAAACGAATTCGTCAGAAGATAAAGAAGTGATAGCAGTAATGATCCAGACATCGACCCAGATTACGAGCCGGATGGGATTGCTCAAGATGACATGATTTCAGAGTATCCGTGAAATCTAAGCAGGTGAAACAAGCGACTACTTTATTCAAACGTAAACATATCGCTAAATATCAGTGACATAGAAGCACCTGCTGCATCATCAATGACAACGGCGGTGCAAATTGAATCAGACGAATGGAATGTGCCGAATCCTATAAAATAAGGAGGCTGAGCCGTCTACATTATATGAAGGCAATTTCATCTACTTTAGCCACTGATTCCACACATGCTGCAAGTTTTAAGCCAACTAAACGACCCTGTTCGTCATTATTATTAATGAAATGATTCTGGTTTCCCTCTATTGGTTCTTTTACTGGGAGAGGTAATAATTATATATTCATACTTTAGCAATAGTGTACTATTTCTATACTCATTGTCAACGATTTATGATATCAAAAAAGATTCGAAACAATAATTACAACAAGATAACCGGAAGTTGATAGATAAACTGATAAGGTCAACAATCGTTTCGGTTCAATTTCAAAGGCGGTTAGATTATGTGTTGATGAGCAGATGTGTTCGAGCATCGTCTTCATCAATTTATGCGAAATAAGCCGCATAAATGGGGCATCAAATTGTTTGTGCTTTGTAATTCTCAAGGTCACGCATATAGTGTTGTTAATTTACAACGGGGCAGGTGACTATAATTCTTCCAGGCCCATCCGATCTCGGAATCACATCAAACTTTGTTGTACGTTTGTCATAGACCATACCCAGCTTTTCTCATCACATTTTTATTTCGGTTATCTTTGTTAGTTTATTTACGAGCAAGAGGAATCTGTAGCCTTAGTACAATAAGTACAATTAGATTTCCAAACTGCAAGCTTCAGTTAGATAAGGATATCAAAGATGAAGAAAGAGAATATTCTGTTAAATATGTTGGATCTGTATACGGTGTTGATTTCAGTACAATTTCGAGAAAAAAATACCAAGAACGTGCGGCTGGCATCGACTTACGTTTACATTAAGCCGTTTTTGAGAGAAACTCCAAATTAAGATATTGCAAAAGTACCACGATATGATCGTAAGAAAGAGAGATACATACAAAACAATACAACAAGCATACGAGAATTCAGAGAAAAACTTCCTGCTGCTTAGGTTGTACTCTTTTTTGTTTGTTTTTAAGTTAAAAATACTCAAATGAACAAAACCTTATTTATAACTTAAACCGGCAAGGGTCCCCTGAGGACCCCTTTACCTGTTTTTACGTGGAAGCCAAACAAAAATTGATAATTACATTTTAATAGAAAAAATTCCCAACTAAATAGAATAATTTTTAGAATCTTGCCAGCTGAAGGTTAATTTTGCTTATGAAAAGAAAGATAGATGGCAATTAAATGTTCTGTTGGAGAAGAATGTTTCAAATTCCATTGACCAAGGACAGGACAAATTATTCAATTTTAAATGAGCTAACGTTCAGCAAACTGCTTACTAGCAAAGTCCATGTTCAACAATTAAAATACTTTGGACATGTTATGAAAATAGAAACAGAAAATATGGAAAGTCTTGTTATCCAAGGAAAAATAAAAGACCGAAGATCACGAGGAGTCACCAACAGGATGGAGCGACCAAATTACCGGAGCATGCGAAAGACCTATGCATGAGTTAAAAGAAATTACCAAAGATAGAAATCTTCGGAGACCCACAATACACGATATCACGATGAACACTACACTCCCTCCAGGAGATCAGAACTGAAGAGAGATCACACTGACATTGGTACCAGGTCTTCATAAAATACAAAGTAACAAAAATGTGAAAAATCTTTGCAGAAGAGGATCAGCTAAAAAATATTTCCGTCCAAAACCGATTCTTTGAGTGACAAAAAGCATCGTGCACATCCAGAGAGCTTAGATTAGAATACAAAGTAACTCTCATTGGAAGAATATAGCAGGTTAAGCATACTGTACTACAACTATACTACTATGCTCTTAATAGTATTCCCTAATTGAACATGCTCCATTCAAGACACCTGCATACAGTAAATATGTTGAATGGAGACCTACGCTGCAAACTCTGCATCGGAGAACCTGAAAAGTCAACAAAATCTGACATCACTGCGAGTTACTTCAAAGAGTGCAGGTATCACATTTTTTAGAAACTACTACGTAACTTTAAAATAATATAAATTCAAGATATACAATAAGCAAATTGGTTACAATACGATCGGTTTAAACTGATGCATGGTTAAAAAAATGGAGCTCAAGAACAGAACTGAAAACAGGAAATATTTGCAGATTAACTAAATAAAAATTCATAAATAATACCAAACCTGTGTTTTATCATTCTTCAAACGGGTGATTCTTCTACTTAGGATGTTTTCCACTTGATCCATGATCTTATCCTTCGTAGAACCATGTGATTCTTTTAGAGAAGCAATAGCTTCAATCACTTCGTTAAATAAACGGGGACGATTGTGACCTGTCTTCATGTTTTCTGTAAAATTAGTAATCATAAAAATAAATTATTAAAGTGATACAAACTTCTACCGTGTCTAGCTAAATTTATTTTCTTCTATTCAATGATTTACTAAAAGGGATACAACATTAAAAAATGTTTACAATATATCATTAGTAAAAAAATATGAAAAAGTTTTAGCGTATTAAATAAAAGATTATAATTTATATATAAAATATCTAAAATGCTTACCTGTTACACAAAAATTTATTAAAAGGAATTAAAAATTAAAAATATGTAAAAAAAATATCATTTCTAAAAAAATGATCAATTTTGACGGAATGTATATCGCAAACAATTTTTTAAATATTAAATCGTTGCCATGACGTAGTTTCTAGGATGACTATAAATTTTATTCCCGATAAATTTGTTTTTAAAACTGGAAGTAACGTTACAAGTAAAACATAGGCAGTTTTTCCTGATACGCCACTTTGGTGGTGACGTCATTCTATCGTTAGTGTAGTATCCATAAATGAAGTATCGAATCTTATTAAACCAAACTGCCATCTGAAAAAAAAAATTAAAAAATAGTAAATCTTTAGGTAAGATCGTTAATATAAAAAACCATTCTTTAATTTTAACTCTTGTTACAACATTATCTTAAATTGTGCATCTACATCTGTAGGAAAAACTAAGCAGTGTAAAAGGCAACCGGTACCCTGGTGGAATCAAGAAATCTCTCGAGCCTTGGCTGCTAGCAAGCACGCCTTTAATGTTTTTAAGAGACACAAAACAGAGGAAAACCTAATAAAATTTAAGAGATTGAGAGCTAGTACACGATTCTTAATAAAAAAGAGTAAGAAGGAGACCTGGATCTAATATGTTAGAAGCATTAACACATCCACACCAGCAAATATAATCTGGAACAAAATAAAGAAAATAAAAGGATCAAGTTTACTTTACTCAATAAATGCACTTTCATATAACAACCAAATCATCTCTTGTAGAAATGAAATTCCTGAAATTCTAGTAGACGTATTTCAAAAAAACTCTAGCGATTCTGTACTAGATCCGATCTTTTCTACACATAAGACTACCACAGAATTTGTAGACATCAATATTCGCAACCAGATCTCTCCCATAAATGTACCCATAACTTTGCAAGAATTAGATTTTTCTCTTTTAAACTTAAAAACCACATCTCCAAGTCCTGATGATATTTCATCGATATTTTTAAAAAATCTACCCCAAAAATGCAAAAAGATACTTTTAGACATCTTTTATCACATCTTTTTAAATCATTACTTTCCTGATAATTGGACCAAAGCTATTATAATCCCAATTTATAAACAACACAATCCAAAAGATTGTCCCACATCTTACCGTACTATTTCCCTCACCTGTAGCATGTGTAAACTTCTCGAGAAAATTTTAAATTACAGGCTTACACGGTATCTAGAAAATGAAAATCTCCTGACCACAGTTCAAAGTGGTTTTCGACGAGGAAGATCTGCTAACGACAACTTAGTGGCACTTGAGTCAACCATTCATGATGCATTCTTACTAGATCAGAAAGTTATAGCAGTCTTTTTTGATGTGAATAAAGCTTTCGACACAACATGGAGATACCTCATATTAAATAAACTTGATAAATGGGGAATTCAAGGACATATGCTTGCGTTTATAAAAAACTTTCTGAATAAAATGGAAATACAAGTAAGAGTAAATGGATACACCTCTACCACTAGAATACTCGACAACGGTGTTCCACAAGGTTCTATTTTAAGCCCAACTTTATTTTTAATTGCATTTAACGATGTAATAAATACAATTAAGCCTCCTATAAAAGCAAACTTATACGCTGATGATTTAGTTGTGTATATTAAATGCAAAAATATTACATCTGGGGCTAAAATACTACAGAACCTTCTATACAAAATCGAAGAATGGTCTTCCAAAACAGGCTTCCTCTTTTCAACTAATAAGACACATTACACAGTTTTTAGCAAACGCAAGAATACCATTCCTGTTTCGTTAATATTTAACGGTCAAAATATATCTCATTCAGAGGAATCGAATTTTTTGGGCCTAACGTTTGATTACAAATTAAACTGGAAAACACACATTACGACTTTACAACTAACTTGTCAAAATAGAATAAACTTGCTGAAAATTCTATCCAATAATATATGGGGAGCTGATTCTAGTATTCTGCTTAACCTCTACAAATCAATTATTCGCAGTAAACTAGACTACGGTGCAATATGCTACGATACAGCAAATAAAACGTTTCTAAAAAACCTTAACACAATTCAAACAACAGCTCTAAGATTAGCCGTCGGTGCCTTCAGAACCAGTCCTGTAAGCAGCTTACAAGTAATATCAAGAGAACCCCCTCTACATTTAAGACGACATCTACTTAGTTTAAATTATGCAGCAAGAATATCTTCCAATAAAAAGCACCCATTATATTCTGAGATTATTAACGCACCTACATCCAATTTGTATAGAAACAAACAATATAAAGACAAACGCTTTAGGGAAAGAATCAATCAAAAAGGATTCAATTGCAATGAATTCAAATTATCCATAACTACAAAATTAGACTTTCCTCCATGGCTTACCCCCTTACCTATCACAGATTTAACTTTAACACAGTACCCAAAAAATACCACAAATCCTAACCTTATCATTAACGCATTCAAAGAAATTATGGAGAAGTATCCAAATCACACATAATAACACGATGCTCAAAACTGAAAGTGGCCATGCTGCAGCCTTCACAAATAAAAATTACAAATATGCCATTAGAATTCCACAGCATTGCAGCATTTACACCGGAGAAACCACAGCGATATTAGAAGCTATCAAGAAATCCTCTTCAACGACTGAAAATAATATTTTAATCATCACAGATTCACTGAGCGCAATTCATGAAATTAATCAACTTTACCCTAGCCATCCTATTGCACAAAACATAAGAAATGAACTTAATGCACTACACCATATAAATAAAAAGGTTACATTTATCTGGATACCTTCACACATTGGCATTAAAGGCAACGAGGAAGTTGATCAATTAGCATTAAAATCCATCAAAAATGAAAATGTTCCAGAAATTACTAAATATCCCCACACCGACCATAAACGACAGTCCATGAATCATATAATAAATTTATGGCAAGCAACCTGGGATGCAACAGACTCTAAGTTGAAAACAATAAAAGCCTCGAGTAGACTCTAGCCTACCACAACAAGGAAAAAGAAGAGATCAAGTAATCGTAAATCGTCTTCGAATCGGCCACACAATACTAACACACCAACACCTTCTAAATAAAGAACCAGCTCCAATTTGTACCTACTGCTCTACTCAACTCACGGTGAAGCATCTGATAGTCGACTGTCCGCAGTTCCAACCTCAGAGAACATGCCGAGGAATTAGTGGAAACCTGAGAAGTGCGCTTACGACAAATATCTCGGATTTATTGCAGTTTCTAAAAGACATAAACATTTATAATAAACTTTAATTTAACAAACTGTACTACTGTGTATGTCCCCCCACTAATAACCCTTGGTGGTTGATGTGGGTTTTGTATGTTTAAATAAAAAAAAACTCTTGTTACCTTAATTGTGCATTTGCAAAGCAGAAAACATGGCTATATATCAAGCAGTTAATTTGTCCATTAGCAGCAGCAGCAAATTGATTAAACCCAGCCTTAGAGAAATGTTCACCGGGTAGTACGATTGGGGTGTGTAACAATTCATTGGAGCAAGGTGTGCTAACTCGTGTAAAAACAGGAGTCACCCCACCGTGCTCCAATGCTCAAGACCATCCCTTTCCCCCCTATAGCAATCTGATTCGCTATAGAGGCACAACAATCAGCCAAGTGCTCTTCATGTGGAGGTCTGGGTAATAGAACCCCAACATGGTTTCCTAATACGATTGTGAAAACTCAGGACAGCGCATCTCCGCTTTATTCCTGTTTATCTTACTGTGGCATATCCGCGAAACTAAATTTGCTTGCTGGGCATCAAGTCCCCGCTCTGAGTCCCGGCTCAGCTCGACGACTTGATGCTCGAGAGTGATGGGCCCTACGTGCCCGGGTTTTTGTGGTTTTTGTTAATTTTTTTGGTGGCCGAAGCCGGTTTTTGTTAGTATTTTTTTGATTTTTTTGGTGGCCGAGGCCGGTTTTTTGTGTTTTTTGTGATTTTTTTGGTAGGTAGCCTGTGAAAAGAAAATCATAATTAGTATAAAGTCTATATCATAGCAAAGAAAATAAATAAATATTTATACATTACCACAATATAGGCTGTATCCTAGTGCGTGCAACAGGGCCCACTAGTTGGGCGATGGCATATTATGGCGATTTGAGCTACGAACTATCTTCCTAGTGTGTGTGTTTTGATTGTTTTTCTTCCCACTCTGGTGTTTATAGGTTTTATCCCTCTGGTGGTTTTTTATTTCTCTCTCTGGTTTTGCGTTAATCTAATATCTGTTGTTTAGGTCTTTTGTGCTTCCATCTGTGGAAAGCGTCATACCTCATCATCTCTCTCAGTATGTGACTGGGGTGGTCTTCTAGTTCTGCGAACTTTTTCCTGGCTTTTTCTTTCATGGTATCAGTCACTCTGATTTGCTGAAGTTCTCTGAAAATGAACCTTTCAGCGACGTATCTTGGTACGTTAACTGCTTCCCTTAGGCTTTGGTTGTGTTGAGCCTGTATTTTCTTTTTGGTTGTATTGCATGTGTGTCCCATGCTAATGATGCGTATGTTAGTATTGGTAGTATTATACTATTTATTAGCGTTATTTTGGTTTTAAGTCGTAGTTTGCTTTTTCTACCTGCTAGACCTCTTATTGCGGCTCTAGCTATGTTAGCTTTTTGTACCGTAGCTTCTACGTGTTTGTTGAATGTTAATCCTTTATCCATTATCACTCCGAGGTATTTCGCTTCGCTTTTCCACTCGATGGGGTTGTCTTGCACAGTTACCTGTTCTTCTGGTCTTTCTCGCCTCTTTTGGAAAAGTACAGCTTGTGTTTTATCTGAATTTATTTTGATTTTCCACTTTAGACTCCATTCTTCAATGTCGTCTAACGCGGTCTGTAGATTGGTGACTGCGATATCTACGTGTCTATGTTTGGCCGCTATTGCTGTATCGTCGGCATATAGACTTAGTAATGTACCTGGTGTTCTAGGTATGTCTGCTGTGTATATCGAGTACAGCAGAGGTGACAATACCGCTCCCTGTGGTACTCCAGCTTCCGGGTTTCCGAGTTCGGATAGGACTTGTCCTATCCGCACTCTGAAACTTCGGTTGCTCAAGTACGAAGAGATCAATCTTGTCATTGCTCCGCTGTACCCGTATTGTCTCATTTTGTATAAAAGTCCTTTATGCCAGACTCTATCGAATGCTTTGCTTACATC